CTAAATCCTGTGCGAATAAAACTTTCAAAAGCCATTTTTCTGGAAGTCAGGACTAAATATGTCAATGCACCGGTCATTTTTTTTTCCTGAAGTTAATAAATAGTGACGCGTGGTCTCCTCCGTAATTGAGGGACAATGAATGTTTATGACTCATGAAAGTTTCGGGTTATTGAAGGATTTACGCTTAATTGTTCTAGGTAGCATTGGCAATTTAAAAAATGAGAGCTTTCAGTATTTATTTTATTTAATTGATTTCCCTCTTCACCATCGCTTAGCAATAATTTTTTTTTAATGAGTTGAACTCATATTTTTCCCTCATTACCATAAAAGACATGGACTCGTCAACATTCCATGGGATTATCTAATCGATTTGTGATTTTTAATTTTCAAAAAGTTTGTAAAAAATAATTCGTCGACGTAATAATGCCGTTTTCTCTCGGTTTTCCAATAATCGGGTGGTAATTGTGTCCATGGGTTCACAGGGCGCCAAATTTTTCCCCTTTCACTCTTAAAAAAGGGTGTAACTATAACAGCTGTTTAAACCTCTACCCTTCCACCTACGCCGCTATTTTTGCCTGGTTATTCGTTCAGGTACAGAAGCTGCGTGTAGATCCCTCGCGGCTGTCGAGCCTCAAACAATTCATCTCTTTTTCCCCAGCCATTTGCATCGTCTCTCCCTAAAATTGGAAAAAGGGGAGAAAACATGATAAAAGGATTGCTAGAATTTTTCCCAATGGAGAACATACTCACTCGGGCACGTGCGCTCCTACCAATGCACGCGAATAAATACTAATTCAAAGATATTCTCAGAATGGTCAACGGAAGGATAAATTCAACCCCTTTCGATCAATGGCTTTTCCCCTGTTATTCTTTCGTCACTCTTGCAAAGAACTCAACTATTTTCCATTTCCCCACTATTTTCATCCACTACCTCACTAAAAATACCCCATTTATTTTTTTACCCACCAAAAATATAAGACTCCATCAAGTAGATAAATTCATTATGGAGAATAGACGGAGTCTGCGAGATGAATGAATTTATCATGTATTTTTTTACGTTGAACGAGGAAAAATAGTGGAAAAAGTGGAAAATGTTTGGGCTGAGAGACAAAGTCGTTATGTTGGCGTCAAGGGATGAAAAAGCTTCCGTTTAGCGGAAGAGCACACATACGCTCGGACCCCCTGAGTATTGCTATAGAAAAAAAAATAGAAGAAAGGAAAAAAAATCTGGAAAAAAGAGGGATCGAGGAGTAAAAAAAACGTATGGTCCATTGGATGGACGGCCGTTTGTCGACGGGAAAAGAGAGGAGAAATGAGAAATATGGGCTCGGGATGTGGTTGGTGGCTGTTAACGGGGCCCTTTGGAGCCTGCCAGGACAAATACAACTGACAGCTGACCCAAGCTCGTGCCACCAGTGACCAATACTTATTATACTTCATCTGCTGATATATCCTTCCACTATTTTTTCCCTCCGCCACCTATTCCATGCATGAAACATTAGTGTGAAAAAATCTATAAAGTAATCCCTCACAACCCAATCAATTATACAACACCACACTCTCCCTTTACTTCACCTTTCTTATCAATTATTCAAATCTCTATAGCTTATCAGTAAGATTCCACCAGAAATTTTAATACTTTTACATTGCGCTTTTTTCTTATATTATACATACATATTTTTCGTCAGGCGAAAAAAAAACAGAAATGATGAAATGGAAGGGGGTATTTATCGGTCATTCAGGATCACTTGTTGCTCCGTTTTTTATCCCCTTTTTTTTCATTCCTCCACTTGCACCGAAGGATTGTAAGGTGACTAGTTTTTTTCTCAATTTTTTTCCACATTTTTTTCTCCATCGTTTTTTTACCGGATCAAAATATATCGGAGGGTGAATCTCGCTCACCGCAGGCGCTCTGCCCTCGTCTCTCCATCTCTTTTTACCCCCGACAATTGCCCACCCCTGGGTGAGGGTTGGCTGTTGGAGCGCGTGCGGCACACGAATGCACTTAAGTCGTAAAAAAATTCACCCCTCAAATTTCCCGTGATTTTTACTTGTGAAACGTACCATTCTGCGCCGTAAATTCATTTAAACTTTCACACCGCAGTATCACACTCCAATTTTCGAGAGCACCGTAGCCTAAAACAAATTACAACAATTCTGGGGTAATAGAAAAACCGACATACGAGTCAATTTTCAATCAATGATTGTATCTTATTATCTCAGAGATCGGGAGACCGAAAAATCGAGAAACAGGACGCGCAGACGGAATTAACCCGACGATTTAGGGACAATACTTTCAGCTTTCATAATAAACACACCCGGAGATCATTAGGCGCGTGTCTCTGTATATTTTGTCGGTATATTTTTCAAGTAACTTTCCCCCATTTCCAATTTTTTCATCCAAAAAAAGAAAGCACCCGTCCCCAAATCCCTCTCACCACTTTGAAAACCCGGAAAATCCCTCGAGAACATCGAGGAACTCATTCTTTACATCTAACCCAAGACCAGCTGTAATTAGTACCAGATTTCTGGTAAATACTTTGGAAAAATGGGAATTACCCCAAGAAAATAAATGATCTCCCATAAAAAAATGATTAACGCGAAGTAAATTTGTACGCAACAAGAACTCAAATCATATTACCGCCCGGGGATCGAAATCTAATAACAATAGCGCAATTTTGGTAATGACCTTTTTTGTAGATCTCAATGAGCCCTACGAAAAAGATTCGAATGAAAATTTTGATATCAGTTGCAGATTCTGAGATATTCAGTGAGAATCGGGGAAAGTAATTGCTACTCTTAAGGGAGTTGCCGGAAGTACCAAAAAATTGGATTCTGTTGCTGTGAATCACTCGAAATTCCATGACTCATGCAATTTCAGGGAATAATTCCAATTATCGAGTGGAAAACTGTCACCTCCGACCGCCAAATGTGCAGCGGAAACCGCTAGGGGTGAGTAAATCCCCGATTTACTCCGAATAAAAGGAGAAAAAAATGTGAAACTGAACACTAACCCGGGATCTTTCACGAGATTTAATAACCGAAATATCTCACGGGGTTCAGAGGTATACATTGAGCGAGCAACTGGACAATGGCCAGTAGTCACATGGCACACAGAGAAATGGCGGATTGGCGTATGTGTAACGCTGTAAGAAAAAAGATCTATAAATCTTGTTATTGTCCAGTGCGAATGTTTAGTTGGCCGCATATTAACCCTGGGGTGCACAGGGCACGCACTGAGTATTGTTCAAGGGCTGACCCCTCTTCATCACCCAGTGACCCCCAAGTATTTTCCAATTCAACGACACCAACGAGATTTTTCAAATGGGGGGAGTACAACTTCTCTCTATCTATCAGGTTGCTTTCCAACACCAAAACTTACCGATTCGATTCGATACCACTGTGTCCAGCCTCGGACATCATCGCCACCGGTCCCAACGTACTTTATCAATTTCGTTCTGCCTCCATTTTACGTCCTCTCCAGAATCCAAAAATCACCCAAACATCTTTTCAGATTGATCTAATAAAAAGACTGCGTCAATAATTTTGAGAATTGTTGAGAGTTTCATTGATATTCCCCTATGCAAATCGATTTGAGAGTTGAAAAAATAGGGTACCGGGCTGTAATGGTGACACTGGCTTGTTTACGAATAAAATCCCCTAAAATATTCTACTGTGTCGGGAGAAGGTACCTCCGGAGTGGTAATAAAACCTGAAGAAGGGGTTTTTCAGAGAGCCGGGTGGTGAGGGTCGGGGAGTGTCCGGCCGACTGTCACCCGGCAATTGGTTTTCCTCCAAGTGGAAAATGTGCCAGGGTATGAAGGAAAACAGTTAACCGTGTTGCGTTTCCAGTACTTCGTAACTGTTGTTCGGTCATAAAGAGATTTCCCTCCGAGGTAGTCCTCACCTCTCCACCACCGGCTCATGCTCCCCAACATCCCGAGGGATTACCACCGGAATAAAGAGTTTAGGGACTATTTTTTTCATCAAGCCATTCTCCTTTTCCTCCAATTTTTTTCCTTTCTTTAATCCTTCGAGGTGAGATGGAGGTTTTACTGCACCTCGGTTCGGGTTGATGCCAAAATTCCTGAAAGGGTTGAAAAAATTCGGGTCCACCATAAAGTTTTTGGATTTTATGAGAGCAAAAAATTGGGGGATCGTGAAAATCTATTGAAAATCGTTGAACAAATTGCATATGAAAAATATATTTCTGAAAAGAGAAAAATGACCGTGAATTGAGGAGAAATATTCTTCCCCCGATGCGGTTTTTTTTCTCAGGGCGATTGGAGAAATGAAAGTGGGGAAATGTGTGGTATCGCGAATGGGAGACAGACCATCAGAAAAACACCCCAGAATTGTCTGGAGGACTTCCTCGGAATGAGAAAACACAAGTCCTTTGGTATTTCCCCTCCACAAAAAAGAGTAGAGAGCGAAGTCAGAGCTATTTATTCTCTTTGTTCTTCCCCCGCAATATTCTAGAACAGAAAAGATTCATATCATCTCTCGGCGAATGGCCTTTTTATTTATGAGAAAATCATCTGCAAGTATTCCCTCCCCTACATCAATTCATCAAACCAATACGAATGAAAAAAAAAAATGGAAAAATCCTCGAAAAGAGGAAAGCAACATTAATTTTCCATTCAATCGTGGATTTTACCCCAATTTTAGAAAATTTTCCCCGCACTCTCGTCATTCCAACCAAATGAAAGGGTTTAATGAAAAATAAGTGGAGCTGGTGACAAAGAAGAAGAGGAGAAGTGGACATGAGGTCCAGCAAATGGTCATATTAACCCGAAGGAAGAGAGACAGGAGGTCTCGGCCTGGTTCATGAAAGGGAGAAGAAAAATGGGAAAAGCGAGTAGAAGGAAAATGCGGTGATGGAGTCAAGGGTGGGGGATGGCGTAGCTGATGGTGGGGTGTGCTGTTGGGAAAAAGCCGATGAAGCCCTACGTAGGGCACCTCTCATTGGGCCAAAGAGGCCCCCAGTGGTGGGGGCACAAGGGTAGCACCTCTAAAAATCCACAAATCAGCCGATCCACTACTTCCGAATCTGCCAATTTTTCGTCAGTCAATCAGGGACATTCGTCGAGACGACGTCACCCACCAGTACCCCTTAAAAATCTTCACGTTATACTCTCATTTCCCTCGGGACTTGTGTTTATTCAGTGAAACTACAATCAACTATCCAATTTACATGTGTTACGCCAGTTGCATCAGTTAGAAATTCATTTCTATGATTTGTTCAATAATTTTCGTGAGTTTAGTGTGGACTTTCATTACTGGATTCTAATCCCTGAAATTTGAGTTTGAGGTGAGTAAAAATTGTCCTTCTCTCAGTTACTTTTAAAATTTGAAGGAGGCATTGGATTTTTTCCCGTGAAATTACGGAATTGGCAATTGATATGGGTTTCAATGAATTTTAATGGAAATTATCAGTAAACAAAATATTATCTATTTATCGTAAAATTCTTTTACGAATTACGAATGATTTTTAATAAATGAAAATGGCTGAAGGTGAAAAAAAATAGTGGATGGTTATTAAGATAGGGGAGGATATTTATCGAAGCGTCCAATGCCCTTTACTCGTACCCCATGAGTGGGTGGAGACGAATAAAAAGGGGGACTGGAGGAAAAGGGGATGAATCGATCGATCGGTTAAACGCGAGGGGTATTTCCTGTATGGAGAGTGATTATCATTAGCCCAATGGGAGAGCAGGAGAACCGAGTGGCAACAAAAAAATAGAAGGAGATAAATTCTTCGACGACTCTGAGAAAATATCCCCCGCCTCATCCCTCTCGAGGGCTAATTTTCCCGACTCCTTTTGCAGATGTGCGTAAAAACAGGAGACGAGGCAATGAATTTTCCCTTGATTTTCATCACGAGTGAAATTTATTCTTTATTTTTCATCATTACTGGGGCTTTGTTGTGCTACAACGATCGATCTGTTTTCGCTTACTTTCTTTTATCAGTTTTAATTCACAACGTATTTGTCTACGGATTCGATGGGTTTCACTATTTTCGATTTAATTCCTCTATTTTGGGAGCAGGTACTTTTGTTGAAAGGAAAATTCTTCTCGTGGATTGAGGAAATATTTTCCGAGGTTCTCCGAATTTTTGGGGAATCGAAGGTGTAAATAATCGGCAATAGTGAGAACGCAGTAAATTCTTACCGTGAAGAATAAAGAGGTATTGAACGGATTTCTAAAAATTGTTTATATGCGTGTCTACGGGATTTTTCCGGGATAATTGGAAATCCACAAGGGTTGTTTGTTTTGAAAATTAACTTCTGGTGTGCATAAATAGTCTTGTCTACCCAATTTCTGGGTAGGAGCTCCAAAAATGTGGGCATGAATGCGCTAAGAGAGGTAAGAAAAGTCACACCAGGCTCCCGATCTCGTTATTTACGACCTGTACGCAGATCTTAAGCCTCAGGAACAATGTGGGGATATATTTTGCGAAGTAAAGGGGATTTTGAGGTAGAGGGGAGTGAATTTTTGCCGTGGGTCTTGAGGTCGGGTCGAGGTAAAATATAATGGGGTCCTGCTCCACTTGAATAAATGAATCCCTTTGAGTGGCCCAGAGTTTTCCGTAGAAGCCTCAAGGAAAAGGACTTTTTTGCTTCTCCTTCTTATTCTCTCACTTCCACAAACCCTCGCTCAAACTCTCCACCCCTTTTTGCTTTTCTTTTTTCCTGCCAGAATGCACCATGCAAGGTTCAAATGCACAACTCTCAAAGGACCAAACAGTCAGTTAAATGTATTCGGATTTTTTTTCACCATTTTTTGAGAATAAATGTTGCTTGGGGACAATGCTCGAGTTTGAATAATAGGAAACCCTTTTTTCCGCTCACCTGGGGAAAACGTGAGGGACATCTGCATACGCTTTTCAAGGAACAGCCCTCGCACTTTTTCCACTCGAGTATAAGCGAGACCAAAAAATAGAGGAATATCTCCCTTCATCAATGAAGACAAAGAAGTGAACAGTAGATTCGCCTGTTCCAATGATTTTCTTTCAATCCTCTAATTATTAAAATTTAAATAGTTGTGTGTATTTATGGAAATTGCAGAAGAGCATTGAAACATGCATGGAATCTGGGAGTCAGCAGAGGCTCTAGTAGTAACACCGAATCAGCAGCTACAGCAGCCGTCGAGGATGATGGAGGATAATCATCCCCTCCATTCGCCAACCCCGCCTGCTTGGGGTATCGCGGATAGTACAGTGGTGAGTAATTCCACCCCAACTGAATTCCCCTTTCTGTGGAAAAATCTGTCCCTCCTACGCATTTCATTCTTTTTTTTCCTTTTAGTCACCCCAATTTCTTCCCCTTTGTACTGCGCTGTTGCCAAAATATCGGGCTTTCATCTTTACCCTCGTCAATAGAACTTTCGTTTTTTCCCCTGAAGTATCATTTTGGTTATTTCGTTCAGAAGGAAGAGCCGACAGACGACAAGAACAACGACTCAGGAGTCTCCCCAGGCCACTACACATCATCGATTTCTCCAGGAAGCAGAAGGTCCTCGTTCACAGCCACCGGCAGTCTCTCTCCGGGAAGTGTAGAATCCGGTGATTCACAGAGTAACTTCAAGAGCTTCACATCACCCCTGGATTTCTCCAGAGTTCCAGGACTGGAGGATCTTGCTAAACAGACTATGATGCATCGACCGATGGACGTTGGAAACATGAATGCTGGAAGCGATGCGTCGGAGGGGTGTCAGGATCATCTGCAGTGCCCTGTTTGTCACTTCACAACGCAAGACAGATTACAGTTTCGTGAACACCTGACAGGCCACTACGAGAGCAACGATCCCACAGACTACCCCAACGCACTTTATCCCCAGGTCTCTCACTTGAACAACTCCCAGCTGAGCCCAATGGACGACAGCAATCGAGCATCACCCATGTCAGGTTCCGAACGCTCCGATCAGGATTGCGAAGAGACAGATGAGCCTGGCATTCGCACTCCTCGAGTAAACTCCCAAGGTAAAGTCAAAACCTTTCGCTGCAAGCAATGCAACTTCGTAGCTGTGACAAAGCTCTCCTTCTGGGAGCACACTCGAGGTCACATCAAGGCCGAGAAGCTCCTCACCTGTCCCAAGTGTCCATTCGTCACGGAGTTGAAGCACCACTTGGAGTATCATCTTCGAAATCACTTGGGCTCAAAGCCTTTCCAGTGCGACAAGTGTTCGTACTCGTGCGTCAGCAAATCTATGCTCAGCAGTCACTTGAAGTCTCACTCTAATGTGTACCAATACAGATGTGCTAATTGTCCGTATCGCACCAAGTACCAGCACTCCCTGAAATTGCACCTGAAGAATCGCAATCACGAGGCAGGAATGGTCCTCAACCCAGACGGCACACCAAATCCCCACTGTACTATCGATGTCTATGGTACGAGGAGAGGACCCAAGGCCAAGCCAATAGCTACCAAACCTGAAGAAACTCCTGGCAATCCTCAGAGCCTCCAGATGATGCCCCAGATGGGAACATTGACTCCATTGTCCATCAATAATGGATTCAACCCGATGATGGCATTCAATCCCTTCAACTCCATTTTCTCTGGTTTTCCAGTTGTCAATGGGTTCGGTGGAGATGATGTGGATAAAATGGAGGGACTCAAGGCTAATATCCTCGCTAAGTATGCCACAGCTATGGTCGCTGACAGGCTCAATGCCAATCTTCCTCGAGATGTATCCAATTACGGACTATCTGAGAATGTGAGCTGTGGGGATGATGATTATAAATCCGAGGGGGTGGCGATGATTAAGAAGACGGAGGTGACCAGCGAGGGAAAGAGCGACTTGGGAGCACCTCTCGATCTCAGCAAACCGGAAATTTCGGTTAATAATAATAATAATGAGGATAAGGAGATGCAGGAGAAGATTGAAAATTCGCCGAGGACCGGTGCGAAGAGCAAGCGCAAGGGGAAGGCTCTGAAGCTCAATAGACAGATTGTCGAGAGTGAGGAGGAGAAGGAGGTGATTTCTGATGGTGGTGATGCACATGAGGAGGTGAACGAGGAGAAGGAGAGATCGGAGAAGAGACTCAATGGTGGAGGTTCTTGCAGTGAGTTCACATGTCAATTCTGTGAAATTGTTTTTGGAAATGAAGTGATGTACAGTGTACACATGGGGTATCATGGATTCAGCAATCCGTTTACTTGCAACATGTGTGGACATGAGTGCGATGACAAGGTGTCATTTTTCCTGCACATCGCCAGAGTCAAACATGCGTAGAGGAGGTGCGGGGAATATTTTGAAGAGTCTATTATTTTTGGTAGAAAATTGCTTTCATCAGTTCACTACTGAAACGAGATAATTATTGAATTATTAAAACGCAGCTTGAGTCTTTGCGTTCTAGTCATTAACGTCGAGGGACACCTGAGAGGGTCCTGGGTACTCGAGTGCAATTATTCCCATGATCAATGCATGGTGACTCAGAACCTCTTTAGTCTCAACCAAAAATGTAAATATTGTAGGATATTATTACAAATAACACACCATTAGATTGTTCTTTTGTATCATCTTTCGATGTTTAAAAATATTAATTACTCCAATTGAGTAATTAAAAAGACAATTCTCGAAATGAATGGATTTAAAAAGCCAATAATTATCTTTTAGTTTTTTTCAATGGCATTCAATCGCAGAATTATTACGAGTCATAAACTATTTTTCTAAATGTAAAATTAAAAATAAAATTGATCAACGAAAAATGTTGAAGAAATGTCCAGAGAAATTGCCAAGTCGTGCCGTTTGTAAATATTTTAAAAATCCAATAAAACGTGGATCGATTATAAATAAATATTTCACTTAAATATATTTCACAGATTTAAGAAATTTATTATCACGAGTACTAATTCAGTCCTCCGAATTCTACTTTTCTGGTCTCATCCAGGATGATGATGTCAATTAAATATTCAATTAATCGCCAATAATAATTGAATCAAAATTAATTCGAGGATCTAATAAAGATCAAATAAATTGTATACGAGAGAGTCTTGCGTGAATAACGGTGCGTCGATGAAAAATCGATAAAAATCGCTTTTCTGAGCTAAAAATCAAAGAAACATTGTGAGATAATTCGATTTGAAGAAATAGGATCAAGGGCTGCGAATGGAGCCATGTACATTCCCTTTTATGTATAGAAAGTTTGAATACATAAGCTTTATAAAAAATTTATCTGTCAATTTATTTCACCTCTGCATTCTAGTCGTAAAAACATTTGGATATTTTCTGTAATCATTACGTGATTACTCGTTCATGTGGGGAACGACATGGGGGACGTCTCCGTGACTCTATGACTTTCACTCTCAGTTTTACCGCAACTGCGGAGAGAGTGATAACTCTCGAGAAATTACTGATACGTAACTGGCATTCTGTGTTCTTTGATATGGATTTTAAGTATTTACTGGTGGTAATTAATTATTTTAAATCTTCAATTATTATTTATTTCCAATCAAAAATTAATTTCGTGAATTAAAAATTCGCCATTTTTCGAGAAAATTCCCCGCAAATTTTATTCAATTCATGATTATTGATAACAATTCTATTTCTTGAGAGGATTTCCCCTCGAATATCCCCCGGAATTAATTATCTAATTAATTAATTAGCTCAGTGATAAATTAAGAGAAGTGTAAATATTCTCGAGACGATTTTTTCTCGAATATCTCGGGATTGAAGAAAAATACTGATATATTCGTAACAATCTTTTTTGTAGGCCTCACCTTTCTCTACAAAAAATATAAACACAGAAATATCTCTATCTCCCTTCAATTCCGAGATATTGTCTAAAAACCGGCCTCGAAAATCGTTGTTACCCCAGTTCACGATTTCTCAACAGAATCGGTACCAGAAAATTGCAAAATTCCTCGAGAATCGCTTTTGTAATTTCGAATTATGAATTGTACGATAAATCATTGATTTCTACAGGTAATGGTGTTCCTTGTGACGGCCAGAGGGGCGCAATCGAATCTTCTGACACTCGTTCATGACTTGGTACAGAATAATATCGCAGGTGTCCCAGTTATTCATGAGGTATGTGTAATGCTCTCATACTCTCATAAAAATCCCTGAAATATTCCACACCAACGGCTCTCTAAAAATTTCCATTGATTTTTTTAACCGATTGCAGCAAAAAATTATTCCCACCAATTCCGTGATTATTTTTCTCCTCAATAATTAACCGTCAGAATCTTTTATTTTTTTACTACCTGCAGAGGAATTCATTTCGCAATTATTTTGCAATCCCGAGATGACGATAAAGTCATTTTATTTTCAGCGAACCGAGTGGGATTTTGACCCGAATGATGGAAAAACTCGGAGGACTCGGTATGAAGCTCTAAATGGATATCGAGGACAGGATCTGATTAATCGTCTGGGAAATAGTGCAGGATTCAAAGGGCCATGGGGAAATAAAGTCCAACAGACTAAACCAGATCTGCGATACGTCCGATAAACGAAATTCAAATTTTTATCAATTATTGCGAAATATTATTTATTCCTGACGTCACGCAATCCGAAAAACAATTCAATCTAGCGCCAAATTTTAATTTAACATTGTAAATAATAGAAATGATACTAATAATAAATTAATAATAAATTAATTGAAAATTATAAGTATTAAAGTATTAAATCCAAAATAATTCAATAGCTGTTTTTTTTTAATCATTCCAAATTGTTTTTTATCGTAAATAAAAATGTGTGGAGATCCACGTGTGGCGCCATTTTGTCGGCGCTTCAGTCGTTGGGGTAATGGCAGTTCTTATTTTTCTTCAGTTTATAAAATTTTTTTTTAATGACTTTGGGAGAACGTTTGGCGACTTTACACATTTGTTAGTGCAAAATAATGAGAGTAGTAGTCCTCTAGATTTAACATGACCACAGATTTCGTCTGGGACCTACTGGCCCCCCGTGACTGCAATGGGTTAATGAAAAATTATGTATTCAGATATTTCCTGGGATAAATCAACACCTGCAAAATTGTCATTGGACCATTAACTTAATCACTGCAAAAGAGTAATAAATAATTAATAAAAATATCCCACCTAGTGAAATTAGATGTTTTTATTGAAGGCATACATTTAACACGAGTCGCAACTCAACGACAATAATTTCGTTTGGCAACTCATCAATGCGAACATCGCACTCTCCCACAAATAAAATTACAGTATCAATTAATTTACATGCTACAGTGTAAATCACACTCGAACTTTACAATTTTTCCACCACTAGTTTACAAAATAATTCACCTAAACGATTTATGAAAAATTTATTGAACACCGAGTACGCCGGGGTGAGTGAATTTCTTTTGGAAATAATTCCCTAAACTCGATTCACATCGAGACCCTTGGATTTCACCCACATAAAATGCCACAGCCATTACCAATTTATTCTCCCATCATATTAATTTCCCCCGAATATCCCAATTATTCATCTCTATCCCCATACGTTAAAAAAATATTGAAAAATAGTCGTATTTTTCTACATTCTTCTCTCTAAACTTGACACCACAAATGAAAATTAAATAATTCCTCACTGTCATTAATAGTCTCCTCGTATTATGGCTCATGATTAATTAATTTTCATTTATGTAAAACGTACTCGGCACTCAAGGGAGACGTTTCACAACACCTCTGAAAAACACTCTTGGCAACTCAAATCGATTCTCTATCAAATAATTATTGTATTGCTGGTGGGTTTCTTCATAATTTCTCTCCAATAAATTTCCATCGCTCTTCAATTCTCGATGTCATTGTCGATGCGACTGCTGCGTATGCCTGTCTTTCCTGTCCAAGGATAAATATCAGGACAGGCTTGACACGTCTTCATGTACCTCACACCACTCTTGTGCCAGAGATTGCAGACCTTGGCGTTGTTACATTTTTTTGGTCTATCCTGAAATGTCAATTCGATATTCAATAGAATTAAATTCAAATTAAAATCTCTGATATTTAAAAACTGATGCCCTTCCCCTTGGAATTTTCACCTGGAGATTATTTTTTGATTGAAAAAATTTCTAGAGTGGAGAACTGTTATTTGAGATTGTGTAATTGAGTGATACTTACGGGGTAATTACAGCTGAATGGCTCGTAATTGTCCAATAATGCTAGTGGGGTTGGATTTCTCACCCACTGGAGTGCCTGCCAGTTGGTCACGACCCAGACATCGTCCATGGCAACAATCGTATCAAGGAAGGAGATGAATCCTTCCTTGTGGTGAGGCTGGGTAAACCACGCTGCATGGTAGAACAATCCGAACGGCGCCCTAATATCAAATTCTAATTAATTAATCGATCACCATTGCTATTGATTAAAAAATAAATTTTAAATTATCAAAAACTCTTCTGCAATTTCCCAAGACGGAAATTCAGTGAAATCCATCCAGTTTAATTCAACCGCAGACAAAAATTGAAGAAAGTGATAAAAGAAATGAATAGAGCAAAATGTAATTTACCATTCGTAATAATTAATGATAAGTTACCTGTTGGTGGTGTAATGTCTCTCGAAATTCTTAATGAGCATTTTGTAAACGCCATCGGGTGTTGGTGGATTGCTGCAGGCATCTCCCATGGAGCATCTGCCACCGTTTAGGTCCTGCCACATCACCATGGGTACTTCCCAGAGTCCTGGGTAAGATCTGGTGGGACATGGGGGAATCATGCAGTCGTGGAAGAGTTTGTAGTCGAGGGTGTATGGCCACGATGGGGGGCGATTCTCGTAGATCGGCATCGACGAGTCATACGTGAAGTTCGTCTCCCAAAGCATTTTGAACATGTTGTTACCACCGACCTAACACAAATTAATTTATTAACTGATTAATTAATTAATTAATTAGTAAAACTGTAGAATGGACGAGTCGTTTGTCTCCAAAAATTATCTGGCAGCTGCGCGATGGAAATGAGAGATTAATAGAATGAGTTGAGTAGAATTCATGAATTTGATCTCCTTTTTTTTTTATAAAGCACTTTCTATGGAACATTCAAATTGAATAAGACAAAAATTAATAGAAAGTTTTTTGTCGTTAATGATATTGGGAGAACTAGCTCTCAATTTCCACGAGAACTTTCCATTTCATTTGTGTTCTCTAATGATTGAATGAGTTCATGTATTCCGAATTGTTGCATAATGTTTAAAGAGAATTCAAGAGGTGCGATTGGAATTGGAATTGTTTTTTTGTTACTGAGGTAAACGATTTGAACAAAAAAAAATTAACAATTGTCTCGTTAATGATAAATGAAATGAATGAATTCTAGATTTTAATCAATAGAATAAGTGAACTAACTCAAAATTATTCTAATGTGATTATTTTTCAATTCAAGAGTTTAAATTTAATGAAAATTTAAATTTTCCACTAATACGACAAACGATTTCAATTTCATCCCCACGATCACCCGTTTTTAATAAAAATCTCGAGATCTGCAGGACTTATCGAAATTTTTGTAATAACATTTTTTGTCAGGAAAAATCCAAGCTACAAAAAATGTTCTACAAAAAAAATCGCCATCTCCCTCAGTTCCAGAGATAGAGGCGTTCGCGCTGAGACTGGGAATTTTTACTGACATAAGGACGACAAATGCTAAAAAAAAAATCCAGTAAAGCCAAAAATGGATAAATAATTCATCAGTTCCGGTTGACTTCTCTTTCCCACTTTATGTAATTCAATGTTAAGCAATGATTAGAAAATAGGGTGGGACTCACAGAGAGGAATGGAGCTCTCATTCCCCTGACGTCCTCCAACTTGACGCCTCCATAAGCAGCGAGAATTTCTCGCTGACCAGCTATCTCTCTGGCCCACTTCCTGGCCGAGAACTGCTCACCAAAGCTGTGCCTGTATACCCCACATTAATTACACAAAATATCCCTCCAAACAATCATCTCAATCATCACAACAACTAAAATCGAGTACGAGGATTCAATAAATTCAAAACAGCATAAAAAAGATTTTAAAAAATCCCTCAATATCAATAAATAAATTCCCAAGGGAATAGTCAGGGGTTATTAATGAAAATAAGAAAAAAGGAAAAATTGTTAATCGGAAAGATTCAGCAGATGATACAAGTGAATTGACAAAACATTACGTTATTTTATTTTAATTCTCTGTGGCTCATCAATGCTTGATTAATTTGATGTTTAATCAATGTTTTGTCGATTAACTAGTGAATATGATGGACGAGACGTTGAAAGCTCGTTTTATCCTACTTACGACACAGTGTGAGAAGCTATTTCATGACCAGTTGCATAGAGATTCTGCACTTGGCTGTAGTCAGTCCACTCGTGTGATACGTAGAATGTAGCTGATATGGGACAGCCGTTGGGATTTTTTCGTCCCTTCTCAAATAGATCTGAGTAGAGTCCCTTATTCAGATCGTTCACTGAATCGTCGAATGTCAGGAGGACGATCTGGGGTATCTCCTCGGGCAGGTAATCACCTGTTTGCCATTTTTACGTGGTATTTTTTTTTATCACAAGCGAATGATGGGAAAGTGTCGTTGATGAGGTGTGAAAAAACGTTTGGTCATTGTCCAGTGTTTTCAAGGCAAAGACGAGAGGAAAGAGAAAAGAAAAAGTCACAGTTAGTAATTAGCATTAGTCTCTTATTCTGTTGAGTTAGAGACGCACATGGAGAATTATTTTTAGGAACAATTACTCTGACGTTTTATGAAACTGCGGTGTGGCCTGATTTTTATCTGAGCATTTATTATTTTTTACTGAAGTTAAAGTTTTTAGTACAAAACGTCAAAGTGAAAATTCCTTCAGAGCGTCGTTTTTACGCGAGACTCGCTCTTAGCTGATATCTCGGAATTGAGGGATCGCAGCGATTTTTACGCGTAAACATTTTTTGTAGGAAAAATTAAGGGCTACAAGAAAGATATCAATGAAAATTTCGGTATCTGCTCTCAATTCTTCGATATGAGCTAAAAACTGGAAGATGGTAGTTGGCAAATATTCCCAGTGCTGTTCTCCGGAATTGTCTTAATTTTTGGGAGAATTTCTCGCGGTTGAATTCGAAAATTATTTGGGGTTGTGATTAATCATGTGAAGCCTCGTACTCGCGGCTTTTTCCACGGAAAAAACATCACGACTTACGAGACTGTGTGACTTGCCATCTCATGGCCATCGGCATAGAGATTCTGCACTTGACTGTAATCAGTCCACTCATGTGACACGTAATAAGTGGCTGATATTGGACAGCCATTGGGATTTTTTCGTCCACGTTCGAACAAATCCTCGTAAAGTTGCTTATTGAGATCATTGACGGCGTCGTCGAACGTCAGAAGGACGATCTGGGGTACCTGTTCGCTGGGAATGCCACCTATTCGTCGATTAAAAATCATTTGCTCATTACTCAGTACTCGAAATTATACGCAGTCAATTCCCAGGAGATTAATCAACATCGGCATCTCGGGAAATAAATAAAATCCTTTGGAAAAAAAAATAGCCTGTTTTCCTGGTGAAAATAGCCATTACCGCAATTGACTTTGAGCAACTCTCCCTCTTGTTACAAACGATACTTGAGAATCTATTTTTCACGGTCGTAAAACACCTGATCGATCTGTCGTTACACTCTTGCGTAATTCTTTTTAGAATTATGGTAAATCCGTGCTGATGAATGAGTCGTTCGGTGTCGAATAAACTTTGGATATCTTTTTTCGTCATTCTCGCTCCAATAATCGGCGGGAAAATATACGAGTAACGGAATATCTCGTTCTCGGTTTTTTAAAGATAGGAAAATTTATTCAAATTACGGGACACCTGATAGAAATCTGATTTATAACTTGAAGGTCTCACGATTTTAGGCTGAATTTTATTCCGTGAAATTTCCCAATTTTCAACGAATTTTCTCATTGGAAATATTTAAAAGTCAAAATTACCATTTACCATTTTTTGAAACTCGATGTATCTCGAATCATATTGATTTGACGAAAAAACGTTAAATAACTTTTTTGTAGATTATTGATTTGTCGATTGAAAAGTCCTCTAGTGTTTTCGTCTAAAATCGATACTTTCGCGGATCAATCGATATTTAACAAATCGTAAAATAGGACTCAAGTATTTTTATGAGTTCACAATTGAATTTATTTATTTACCAGCATTAAAAAAATTAGTTCAGCACTCATGAATTAATTAGCTCATTGTGAAGTCGTGATAATTAATATAATTTCCTTAAAAAGTTTTTTCTTCCATTCATCGAATTTTGTGTTGCAATTTCAGTTGCAAAATGAATGAGGCAAGCTCTATTTCGAGGCCAGTTTTAATCAAATATCTCGAAACCGAAGTTAAATAGAGATATTTTCATAACTACCTTTTTAGTAGCTCTCATTTTCCTCCATAAAAAATGTATCTACAAAAATAATCCTATCTCTCTTCAATTCCGAGATACGGGGTAAAAACTGGCGTCGAAAAAACCGTCACTTGCTCTAATTTACTGTTTCACTCGAGGTTCATTAAAAATTCCACCGAAAATGGTTAAATTAACTGGTAAATTAATGCTGAGGTAATACCGAGTGGATGGGAATATTCACAGGCATAAATGAGCAAACGGGTGGTGCATACGCGGATTTGTTTCACTTTCCGTGGTTCCATGCGTAATATGCGTGCATTTGCAATCGGTGAAAGTTCGCTTTATTTTCACTCTAATTCATTATCCCCGTCTCCTCGTATTCTCTCTTTCTCGATAGCAACAATCGACATGTGTAATTTTTTATCCTGTTATTCTTTGTTTGACCACGGCATTGTCCTGTCGTTGGGAATTGAGTATGCAGGCCCCTTGGGCCCAATTAAACGGAGTAATATTTTATTCTATTCCCTCCGTTATTCTAATTACTCGGTAATTACACGGATAATTCATCTGGACCTCTACCTATTCTGTGGTCCATCGGAATAATTATCTCGATTTTATGATAATGAAAATTGAATTATTGGAATTGTAATTGACTAATTGAATTCAAATGATTAAATATAATTAAATTACAGAAAAAATTTCAAAAGGATTTCGCTGCAAAAATTCTCGAGTCAATCCGTTGCGCAATAATCTATTGTCAAATTGTTTATTTAAATATTAAATATTTAAATATTAAATGGATGGGACGTCAATGGTAGTCTGTCTATAGTTTATAGCAAACGAAAGATTATTCAATGAGAGAAAGATATTTTAGATAATGACTTACCAGGAATGTCAGCCCCGCCGCAGTTGCAGTCCGGAAGTAGACAGACATCCTTCCGGCACTTGGCAGCGGGTTTGTCGACCTGGGGCGTGGGGTAGAGGGTTGGTGGTCTAGCTGGTGGATGTCTGTAGATGTCGACGAACTCCTGAGCCTTGGAGACGATCTCAGTGGACGGTTTGAGCGTCGGTCTCGATCGCCTGTGAGTCAAAGACATCCATGACTGAGGACTTCGCATTTCGTGACAATTTTAAACGCTTGGATGAATTAAACAAAAAAACAAAAGCAAAAATGAGACACTTAAAAAATACAAGTAATTTGCACTTACGGTGGTGCTGTACCTCGATTGACTTGTGGCCGTCCTCGACTGAAAAATAAATAATCAAGATCTGCATAACGACAATTAAAAACTGGATTGAGCTTCCGGTGTGCAAACGAAAGTGAACTGAACTCGTATTTTATCGTCTTGGGCTGCGTGAAAGTGTGGACAAAGGGAGAGCGTGTCGAGAATTTCGTGATTATCGATTGTCAACGTAATATCATTGATAATTCATGGCGTCGACCATTGCCAGTAAAATTGGGTCTCGGTCGTGGCCGAAAAAGAGAAATGGGAGTTTTCAATTTCTGCGAGGTGAATGTCAATCGAAATAAATCGAACATGTTCTCATGTAATCATTCACATATCGATGCCTCGATTCAATAATTTCCCACAATTGGAAATTCCCATTTCCCATCTATACAAAAGTACACAATTTTTTTACTTTGATACCGACTTTCGATGTATCGATAGCTCGCGAGTTCGACCTCTGTTTTTTTTTTAAAATAAGACGAGCCCGATGGTGCGCTGCATTTGATTCCGTTGCAATGACTGAGCAAAAATCCAATTGACCACAAACAAATGATAATTAATCATAAAGGCGACCAAATAGAATGACAGAAAAAAAAAAATTTACGTGTACCACCTTTTATCGAAGAGATCACCTCTCATTAAAAGGAATATCGATAATCAACGAGTATGAGCTGTCCGTCCTTTTGACATTAGATTGAATTTATCTCACCTCTGTACAGTCACAGTAAAGGGGCGTGCTGTTGTAGTGGGTGGTGGTTGGGTGGTAGTCGTCAGGGGCACATAACTATCGACAATGGCATTTGGTGTTGTCACGTGGACGGCTGGATGGCTGATACCATTGGTTCTGTGCATAACAAGGACAAGTGTGATGTTGTACTGTTGTCCTGAATTTACCCAGTGATATTTGACCGAAATGGACAATGTGTCAGGCACAATGACATGTCAATCAAGAGACATGTGTATTTAATCTAGATTTTCAAATATCAATTACTTACCTGTACGACTGGCCATCAATTCGAAATTTGTTCTTGTTCAGATGAGATTGTCCCTGAAAGAACGAATTATGCTCATCAATTCCATGATGTTGATCAATTGTAATTGTCTCATTAGAATCATTTATTCACCTGATTATCGTAGATGTCGTAGTCCGAGACAGTGACGTCTTGATTCAAATTGTACTTGTCATTATCGTTCACTGGCACTTTCTTCGCTTTTTGCGTGTAGGAAGTGGCTTTCGAGTTGGGCGTCACCTCAGCAATCCTCACGCTCTGGTGCTGATGAGGATGTTGAAGGGGAACTGAATGATTCACTGTGTACTGCGCGTAATCTACGCAACAAAATTTTCACGAGACGTTCGGTAAAAACGGGACAGAAAAAATAACTGGTTAACTGGTTGGATGAAGAATTGAATGAAATGAGTGATGGAAGCAATCATTATTATTATTAAATGATAGTTTGTGGTGTTTATTCTAGTATTCGATCTTGACGTCAGATTCAACTTCGACATGAGAGATTAGGCAATGGCATTAAGTTAATTATTATTCGAAGACTCACCGTCATCTTTGTAGATAGACACATCATCATCATAAATAGTGTAATAGGGATAGGTCTCAGGATCGTAGTAGGACTTGGAAATAACAGGAGTGGCAGCAGTTGATGCCGTTGTCTTCACGATTCTCGGATTTTCCGATGGAATGGCTCTGACGACAGAAAAATATATATATTATTCATTTTCTAATCACCATAACTTAGCACGTATTTTTCCATGGAATAATATTCAAAGGATAATTTGTTATTGAAATATTGACAGCTCATAGAATTTTCTGTGGCTTGTCTCAGGTACGAAATGAAAGGAAAAATGAGTGGATGGAATAATTTATGGATTTTTAAGAGTGCATTTTTGCCTGTGGGAATAAAGTCTGTGATCGGAGTTACCTGTAATGATTTTCAGTCTGACCTCTGCCGGAGTGCAGACTCTCCTTCTCTCTCTCCTGAAAAAGACCAATGTCCATACAAAAATGATCCTGAACAAGTGAATCGACAATACACGGCGCCAAAAAGGCAGTCCGCTAGGATTTAGTAGAGAAAGGAAAACTAAAAAGAAAGAAATGCTATTGAAATGCCAACAAAGCAGTGAGATTCTGTAATTTGAGGAGATCCACTTTTTTAAATCGATGGAATTTGCCTGAAAATCACTCTAAAAAGCCAAAAATTCCTGATAAACCAATAAAATCAAATAATCAGTCAATGCAGTCATTAATTCCGAATAATCCTCTTCTCATCATAAAATGACGTCACTAAACCGCACGTACTCCTCCATCTGCGTATGTGACGCTGGATGTCACGTCCCAGATGCGCGCGCACAAGCGCGGCTCCTTTTGAATAGTCTTCGTATCAGTTCCTCGCGGAATAGTGACGTCAGAATTGAAAATGATAGCAAATGAATTTGAAAAAAAAATTCCACGCAGTGGATCGTCCGCAAAAATCTCCAAATCTACGAAACAAGAGGCGATGAACCAGAAATAAACAAGTATCGTCATTAAATTCGTCTCAAGTCCCTTCCTCTCGTCCAATGGCTCCTCTACCCCCCCAATACAAACAAATATCGATGCTCGAATCCAATTGGTCACAACAAACTACTCATTACTGGAGCTCTCGTTGATCGTTGCCCGTTAAAACAATTCATCCCACGTGAAAATCAGTAGTTGAATAGGAAGAAGTCAAGAGTAGTTTGATCCAAAGTTTTGGTTGGATTTTACTTGACTTACGAGTGAACTCCTTGATGCCTGTGGACGATGTCGTGTTGTCCGTTGGCCTGAACTCGTGGGTGTTACCGTTATCTCATTTCCATCGAGTTCATCCCGCGTTCCTTTAATCTCACTGTGAGCCGTTGTCACTCCTAATTTACCAGTGACCGTTGAACTGTCATTAGACAATTGCTCTCTAACACCTAGACTTTTACTTATTGTTATCTCATTGCCCTCAATGTCCTCATTACTCTGTAACTGACCGATTTTACTGAGAATATGTGCCCTCTGGAGAGGACTCAGAGTGGTGGGTACGTCGTCGGCTATTTCCCCGACGTAATCGGAATTATCGGACAACTTTTTCGACGTCTCACGTCGCCGAGGCATTGGAGTTGTGCGTGGCACGTCGTCCTGAGATTCTGTAGCTATTTGATCGTTCACCGGTCGTTTACGGACGATCTTCATCATGGTGACACCCCCCTGATACCGCTCACTCCCACGATACTGAGATAGTCTCGATTTAATCCGTTGACGGATGGTCGTCGGGGCTGTGGCAAAATTCCCAACAGCAATCGGTTCATCACTGAATTCATAAGTAAAACGTTTTCTCGGGGCTGGCGTCGGCTGGATCTCATTCTGATCCGAATCCTCGGGTTTCGACGTGATTTCAGGTATCACTGACGTTTCAGTGCTCGACGGTGTTGATTCCGTCGGTTTAGAGAGCAAATCACTCGGTTTTGGAGTTTCAACAGTCACATCTGTTATTCTCTCGGGTATGTAATTGAAATAGTCATCCTCGTGGTGATTCGGTTGTTCCTGTGGTTGTTTCAGGATCGATTCCGTGTAATCGTCAATTTTTGGTGGTAGTTTGAAGGGCGATGGGGAGCTGACGATTATGTAATTCCTTCTTGTTGCGTCCTGGTATGAATAATCGATCCTATCGCGATCGCTAATGTTATTTTTAATAGTCGTTATTGGTGGTATTGTCGGTGTCGTCGAACTAACGTTTGTCACGTGCCCGACATTGTCTGATCCATTTGATGCAGGTGGTGTGACGTAAGCGGGATGGAGAGGTCGTGATGGGTGCGTTGGACTTACGGATATGATGTTACGACGTAGGCCATCACGATCTCGCTGTACTTGGCCGATTGTCGATGGTTGGCCTCGGTAGACTCGTTGTTGACGATCACTCTCGATCTCCGATGCTGGCTCGTACTCGTCGTCTGGGTATGTTGTACGGTGGGGTGGCTGACGGTGACGGCTGTGACGGTCAGCAATCGTCGGGTGGGGCGACGGTGACGGTGGACTTGGTTGTCGCACCGGTTGACGGACTGGCTGACGATGATGGGAGTCCTTCGCAGCTCTGACGGAAGAGGAATCGTTAATCAAACATTTTAATTGTTCTCATTCAGTCGACAATTCATTAACTCATTTAAGATTTTTTTTAAATTTAATTTCCCGCGGGGGCGGGGGAGCAGAATAATTTCTATAAATTTAGTACACAATACGTTGTAATGAGTACTCAGTGATTGTGAAATGAGGGAATGTTCTTGGTAAAATTGCACAATAGAAGGCAGGATTATCGAGTGAGATTGTTGTCACGATAGAGATGAATGAAAATAATAAATAATATCGAACGAGGTATTGATACGATTTGATACGATTTGCAATTGGTCATCGTTGGGAAAGAATTGATTGTGTCCTGGAACATATCGGCATTTCCTCTCGGTTCAATTGCAAATAGTGTAATTGAGGAGTGATAAAATTCGCGGAGAAATGCATGATAAATTGCGCGATTGCTGGATGATTGGTGGTGTATAATTCCATTGCCTCCAGGATAGTCGGCCTCAACGGCATCCTTCTCTGGGGCAAGAGGAAGCGGAAAGGCGAGATGTGGATCGGATGCTGAACGATATCTCTCATTTTTTATTTCTCTCGTGAACTCGTTATTTGTAATTAATGTTTGGGGCGGGGAAGTGATGGATCATTCACCTTTCGAGCAGGGGATCCTCGACGTCGTCCTCCTTTGCACCTCCACTGGAGTCCAGACACCCTACGTTCCGGGGCCAATCACAGGTCTGTAATTCATGGCTGGAATTCCACATTAAAAAATTCATTTTAACATTTAAATCCATTGATAACCGATTAAAAAATAATTGCAAACTGACAATAACTGAAAATAACTAATGAATAATAAAATAATAAAAAAAACTTATTTAATAAATCGATTAAGTCATGGATAATTGACGAGTGGGGAATGTCAGGAATGAAAAAATTAAATATATAAACGAACAAAGAGAATGAATTCGAGAGGAAGGGCGGGGGCTGTAATTGGCGCAAGTCCTTGTCTCGCGTAATGATATTCCGGTTTTGCAAATGAGGGCAAAATAATCTAGAGCTCTGGTTCCGCGTGCCTATGGGTGCAAATGACCTTGCTTTCTTCACCTCCGAGATTCCATCGGTTATCGATAAAAAAAAAAATAATGAAAAATGCTAAATGAATAAAAAGGAAAAGGATTCAGACACGTGAACCCGGAGATTTTGCAATGCAGTAAAAACACTGTGCGTGGGATCTGGCACAACTGATCGATAATGTCATACGTCAGGTCTATTATCATTATGGAGATTATTATCCCAGTTACTTTTTCCTGTCGATTTTTTTTTTTTCTCAATCGTGTGAGGTAATTCTGGTATTCGGGCCGATAAATAATGCGCGTCGGGCCTTTTCGCTCCATTCGTCTTGTCAGACAATTCGTTATCCATTCAGTTATAATCAATGGGTAATTACAAGTGATTATGCGGATTTGGTACCGCGGGAGATGGCGGAGATGAGAGGGCTTTTTTATTTATTTTTTTGCATTAATAATCTTTGATTAGTTGACGTCGTGACGAAAACGAGAAGATTCCTTTTCTCACGAGCTCAAAATCATGCGTTTGTCAATCTAAATAATTAATAAATTATTCATTAATGAATTATTCATTAATTTCGTAATTACTCTATAAAATAAAGTCATCTTGAATTCATAAAGAAAAAAGGGATAAATAACTTTGATAAAACTTTGATAAATAAAAAATAATAATAAACAACTGAATATTTCCAATTTATTGTTATGACCAATTGTTAATGCAAAACGAGATGGGGAGTCAATGGGGAGTCAATTGAATCAATAGAAAATCTGAGATTCTTTGTTTGAAGTGCGTCGAGGGGTAAATCGGGGGTAATAATGCAATTTCATTCCACGACGGATATATTTTTCCTTATGGCACTCGAGGATATCTCACGGAGTTTTCTGCATACTGTACAAACAATACATGGGAAACTGATTGTTTAGTGCAATGCACATTGCACCGGTACAGCACTTCATACTGCTATTTATGTACGATGGCCGAGTGCGCTAATAATTTACAACACGTGTACTCACTTTCCCCCGGGTACCACTAGCCCGTAATATTCCATTTTTATTGTTATTATCCTCGTAATTTTTCGGTTATGTTCGCTTGAAAATTATAATAACAATAATTATCAGTAATTGATGGATTAGCATTGATTGGGGGATAATTGCCATCGCATTGTTCAATTAAATAAAAAGTCATTCAATGACCGGTATTAATCTCAATCGTTTAATTACAATTATTATCTGTTGTCTAATCGAATTAATTGGATCGAGAATAATCAATTAATGAAGAATTTTGGGAGAAGAATTTTTATTTTTAGTTTTTGATAATTCGCGGATTAATTCGATTCATTGAATTATTGATTAAATTTAATTGTTGGAGAGTAATTGAAGTTTTTTGAAGGGAGGGGGGGCGTAATTAGGGGTTTTAGACGGTGTAATTTTTGTAATGGAATGTCTTACCTGTACATGAGACCACCTGTGCAAGACTCGAGTAATGCACCCCCAAAAACGCAAACGTAATATTGAGTGCAATCTCGGGGATGGGCGTAATACCCGAATTCTTCAGGACACTCGAACTCCAAGGCCGCATCATTACGACTCGCACGAGGACTTCTCGGTGTATTTCTTTGACATCCTGCAACAACAAGAATTATTATTTATTAAAAAACCTTGGAATTTCGAGTGATTGTTAAAAAAAAAAAATTGACATTTGAATTAACGCGGGAATTCACACCCGAATTCCGGGGAGTCCCCCGTTTTTACAGAATGAAATACACATGAAAATTCGGATTGCGCAGGAGTTGATTCGTTTAATCGTGAATAATTTGATTGGGCATTCAGTGAAGGAGCGGGAGAAATTTAAAAGAAATTAGGGAATTAAGGAAAATGGCGGATTCTATTTGCGACGGCGGAAGAACAGTATTGTCATTTTTTTCTAATTACTTCGTGTGAATTTCCATTTATGGAGTAGACTGCATCATCGACAATCCGAGAAATGCATTAAAAATGGTCCGTGAACTCTTTTTGTTGCTAATTCTCAAGGAATATCAGACGCGTTTTCACTTTCGTGAAATTATAGCGTCAATTTCTCATGTGTCGGGAGAAATAAATTAATGACTCACGAGAAATTGTCTTTTACCCAGAGAAATTTCCAAAAAATAAATACCAAAAAGGTTCACCATCTATATTTCTCCGTCGAATTTTCCCAATTTCTCTGATTATTTCATTAATTAATATCTGCAATAAACTCCATTAAAAAGGCAATGAGTCAATAAAAAACCGAATAATCCACCCAACTCGATCGACAAGTTAATAAAATAAAATATATTATCAACAAATGGTAGAAGTGGATAGAATTACGGGATGTGCATATATTTTCGATATATCTCTTCGTTGTTTGTGGAGTGGTCGATCTTTTAGGGGCTACTCTAAAATTCTCGCTGATTACCATAGGAATTCGTATAAAACGAGTAAAAAATAAATCGGTAAGATTAGAAGGGGAAAAACGTGACATTTATATGACGATGGGATCGGTTTGAGCATAAATATTGTGGAAAACGTGTTCGTTGGGGCATGTCGAGCGAACCGGTCGCCATTTCCCTGTAGCGCCCACAGGCCATTGGCATCTACCATAGGAATAAAATGGTGGAAAAAAAAGAAATATACGAAAAAGGGAATAAAACCGATAGCATTTCCGCGGCTATTCCACGGGCGTTGGGTTACCATTATATCTCCACTCTCCACACACATTTTCTCCTTCAAATTCACCGATATATCGACTTCTGCCACCATTTTACAAAGGCCAAGCACGAACCCTCATTTTACTCGGGGTTAATTGAGGCCTTTGCCGATTCTCATCTATTTTTTCTGAAACTCGTTTTCCGCTTTGAATTTGAAAAAATTGAAATTGTCGTAAAATTATAAAATTAATTAATCAATTATGAAATTAATTAATTATAAATTCGATGGACTTGATAATTGGAAATCAAGTACAGATTAATTAATTAATTGATCATTGATAATAAATGTTGATTATTCGTATTATTATTGTTTAAAAAATCAAATTGATTGAAATTCTCGTCAGAAAAAAATATAATTGACGATAAAAATTGGATAGTGATATTTCCGGTTAATTGTGGATTGAGAAGTAACAATTGCATGGGGAAAAGTAAAAAAATGTTTAATAGTGCATTGAGACAGTTGTTAAAAAATCGCAAGAGGAACAGCTATGAATCACGGAGTAATCTCGTAATCAGGATAATTACTGAGGCTCGTTAATTCTGTGGGAGAATCGTCATCGATGACGAAACACATGAAAAAGGCTTGTAACGAGGTCATACGGAGATTACTCTCCTGCTACATCCGAAATTACCGTAACACGTTCATGTTTACACAACTGACCATCATTGATACCCCATCGGCTCTCACTCATTGCACAACCCATTAAATCAGAGTTTGATTTATCATCCTGACCAATTTTCTCCACTTCAATTGCAACCATCAGTCTTGTATTTATTTATAACAACAAATGAATAAAAAAACCCCAGAGACTTTCTCTGTACAGACAGAATTTGTTGCTCTTACGAAAATAAAATTTTACGGAATCATTTCTTAGGGATTGTTGATAACAATTAATTATGGATAATTCATTAATTCACGATTAACTGATATGATTATTCTATATTTTTATCAAAATTGAATGTTCATAAAAAATAAAATTGGAGACAATTTTTTAATCGGAAATTTTAAAAGTTATTTTGGAATATTTATAGATGTGTTTATGGAATTCCAAATATTTTTCGCGACTGCACGTTCTGCGGATAAAAAGAAAACATTGGCATTTCTATCGAGCAGCTCTCGGGCCAAACCCAGAATTTTTTTTCTTTTCATTTTATCCCAACCGTGAGACGTGAATTCGTATCTTTCGACTCGAGCTGCATTTCAAGTGCACATACGCCTATTCGACTCCAACCCCTCCACTTGCTGCACAATTCATTCGTGTATATTTTTCAATTTCAGTGAATACCTCTTTGATTCTCATGCACCCCTGATACTTTTTCTAAAATTTTGCATTTTACGATTTCAGTCAATACCCCTTCGATTCACATGCTCCCCTGATTTTTTTTCGAAAATTTTGAATTTTCCAATTTCAGTGAATACCTCCTCGATTTTCATATTCCCCTGATACTTTTTCGAAAATTTTGAATTTTTCGATTTCAGTGAATACCTCCTCGATTGTCATGTTCTCCTAATACTTTTCTGAAAAATATGAATTTTAAAATTTGGGTGAATACCTCTTTGATTCTCATGCTCCCCTGATACTTTTTGGAAAATTTTGAATTTTTCGATTTCAGTGAATACCTCTTCGATTCTCATGCTCCCCTGATGCTTTTTCGGAAATTTTAAATTTTCAAATTTCAATGAATACCTCCTCGATTTTCATGTTCTCCTGATACTTTTCTGAAAAATTGAAATTTTAAAATTTCAGTGAATACCTCTTTGATTCTCCTGCTCCCCTGATACTTTTTCGAAAATTTTAAATTTTCAAATTTCAGTGAATACCTCCTCGATTTTCATGTTCTCCTGATACTTTTCTGAAAAATTGGAATTTTAAAATTCCAGTGAATACCTCTTTGATTCTCATGTTCCCCTGATACTTTTTCGAAAATTTTCAATTTTTCGATTTCAATGAATACCCTCCCGATTGTCCTTTGATTTCATTAACCCATTGATTACCCATCGACGATTACTAAATTCAATTCTATATTAAACTATAATCTATTGCAATTACGTAAAGTAGTATAAAATAATTAATTGTTCTGGTTAATGAGTAATAATGAATTAACTATGAAGAATCAGGTGTTGTATTTGGATTAGTTATTTCCCCCATCGTCCAAATAATTACGAACTCTTCCTAATAACATAATTACCGGTAAAATTCCGTGAATTAATAAATTCTAGTTGAAGAGTAATTATTTCACGAGCGTATAATTGATTTGCATGACAAACGAAGTGAAAAACAGGTGAAGCCAGACTGGAAAATATTAATGAGAGGTCAGTGGGACGCGATTATTTAATTTACGTAGTACTAGGTAATAAAACGATTGAGAGGAGAATAAATTCATCTGTACAGGCGATACATTAGACTAAAATTCGCCACTGAATTCTCTTCTCCCCTGCTGTCTCAATAATTGATTGAATTATTTCCGTGATTAGTGTTCGTTAATGAGCAATAATCCGAGTCTCGATGATCGTAAAGACTGGAGTTATGATCATTAACACCTGATCGTAAAGATTTGAATGATTTTTCGTACTTCCACCGGGGCGGTGATAAAAAAAACTTTCCGATCCGCCCATCCAGACGAGATAAAAATGATTTAAATAAAAAAAATGAGTTTTACTTTCCGTCAGCCGTAATGTTCTCTTGATTTGTTGTTTTTCCCTGTCGGGTGTAAAATAACTTTCTTAATGCGCGAGAATCAATGCTCGTTGGCTATGGCTCATTTTTCCGGTAGAAAATGAAAATTTATGGATTTCAATGAGTCTAGAGTAAGTGAGATTCAAAAGGCGTAAATCACTGGGGGAAATTGGCGCGTGGGAAAGCGGAAAACTTTCCGCTCTTTTATCAACTTTACGGACTACGATCAATACCTCTTTCAATCTATTGATCTATTGAACTTTGAGTTTTGCATTCGAAGTTAAAGGGGAAATTTATTATTGGCGTGGGGAAATTTTGTCGTACAATTTTCCTCGAGAAGTTGGGGAAAATTCGAGGGGCTGGAAAATTTGGGAAGCGAATTTTCAATTGATTGAGAATTTCATGGGAATCCCAGATTATTCACAAATTAATTTACGAATTAATTGTTATCAGAAAATTAATGAAAACTGTCAACTTTAATTGAATTATAAATCCGTCGATTGTCTCTGCAATTTCAATATTAAATAAAAAATTGTAATTTATTTATCTACCTAACTGTAAAGAACATGAAAAATTTCCAGTTATCGAAATTTCTTCTGAAATTTATAATGAATTATTATTTCACATTCACATGTCGCGGATTCGCGAACGAGAAACGGAAATCTCGTTAATTCCGACGAGACATTCAGTTAATAAAGCGTAATAACAATTGAAACTGTCTCTTATTCTCTCACACTATTTTTTTCAATTCAGTGTACCTTTCTAGCCCGCCATTATGGGAGAATGAATTATTACCGCGAGAAATGACACCTGAAATCCGGTAAAAATTATTTCTAGATTACGAATTAATCCCGAGAATTTACGGCAATTGTTACCGGGTCTATAATAAAAATGATAATTTCAAGTCGAATGCAATTATTTAACGGTTTAATGACGAAATAAATTAACGGGACTTATTTTAATATAAATGAAGCTTCTGGGTTCATGGGAGATACGTGTTTCCAGTTAATTAGGGAAAATAGGATAATTTGTATTCCCTCGGTACTCGATTGATCGACGTGAGGATGACGATAACGATCGGCCATTCATCCGAGTCAATGATCGATGAATGAACGAATGGAAACGATCGACTAGTCCCGTGAGTGACATTGAGAGACTCGAGATGAGTATCGATACAGCTACAGTCGATTTCCAATTCACTCACCGAGAAAAGTCGA